CCAAAATAGTGGAACAGGTAGAGCCATTGCAGGTTCCTAGATAACATTCCCCCACTAGCCGATTAGCCACTCAGGTTCTACTCAGCCGTAATAAACCTGGGATAGATGTAGTCTGATCCAGCACCCACGGGAGCAGGGAGATGGTGGTTTCCAGAGAAGAGGTTTGAAGATTTTCCTTGAGCAATGTGCCAGAGTGCAGTCAGGAATACGCCAGGGCTAACACTGCCTCTGGCAGCTGCTGTGCTCAGGGCAGATTATCAAATATGTTTGAGACCTGAATGTAGGAATGCGATAAGCACAAGTGACAGAGAGGGAGAAAGATAGTGTGGGTTACTGTGTGAGCCCTTCAAGTCTCATCTATAGGGTTGTTGAAAAAGTCATGATGTATTTTTTCTATGTTTTTCGTTGCAAAATGCGTCATGAGTTCTCCGACAACCCAATACTAGAATTCATATGCTCTATTCTCCAACAGATCAGATCTGTAACGCACATTGAAAAGTTCTCATGGTCCACAGACTCCTTACTTCAGAAAGATTCATGTCTAAACTGTGACCCCATTCCAAGTCTCTAGCAATTCTAATATGACTTTATTGCTTTCACTGATCCCTATTTCACTTGAACACCACTGAATTCTGCCTCCCTTCAGTGGTGTTGGTTGTCTTTGGGGCCGATGGAATTCTAGGTCCCATGGCCATATTTTGCGCAACCATAATATCACATGTGACCTCCTTGGTTCTGTGGGAATATAAGGAAAGCAGAGTTGATAGCTGGTGAGAGATAGAGAATATATGAAAAATAATCTAGTGATAAACGTGCAGGGTTCCAAACATTTGACCTAAATAACTGTTCCTGTAGAAACAGCATCAAAAACTGTGTTTTCCTCTAAAAATGAATATATTTCAAAAACATATAAAAGTATAGGTTAGAATTTTGCAATAATAAAAAATATCTGACCACCTCAACAGTCAGTCCATACTTACATTCTATTGTTATCCTGCTATGCATGTATATGCATTTCAATTATATGAATTAAAAAATCTGTATCTATGTGGCTTCTCTGTTCACACTCATAATACTAAGTGAGCAATGTCTCCTTATAATCTCCTACAAGAGAATGGTTGTCTGATCCTGAGGCCTGGACCATTATCACATATGAGAATGATACCAA